ACAGCACAACAACAACAGCACAACAACAACAACACACAACACAACAGCAACACAAACAACACAGCAACAACAACAGCAACAAACAACAAACAGCACACAACAACAACAACAGCAACAAAACCAGCAGCAACAACAACAACAACAACAACGCAACAACAGCCAGCAACAACAAACACCACAACAGCAACAACAACAGCAGCAAAACAACAACAACAACAACAACAGCAGCCAACAACAACACAACAACAGCAAAACAACACAGCAAAACACACACACAACAGCAAACAACAAACAGCACAACAACAACAACACACACACACACACAACAACAACAAGCAGCAACAACAACAACAAACAACAACAGCAGCAACAACAACAGCAGCAACAACAACAACAGCAAGCAACAAAAACAACAGCAACAACAACAACACAGCAACAACAACAGCAGAACAACAACAAAGCAACAACAACAACACCAACAGCAGCAACAACAACAGACAGACAACAACAACAACAGCACAACAACAACACAGCAACAACAACAACAACAACAACAACAGCAGCAACAACAACAGCAGCAACAAACAACAGCAGCAAACAAAACAAACAGCAGACAACAACAACAAAAAACACAACAGCAGCAAACAACAACAGCAGCAACAACACAGCAGCAACAACAACAGCACAGCAACAACAACACAACCCAGCAGCAACAAACACAACAACAAAACACAGCAACAACAACAAACAGCAACAACACAGCAACAACAGCAACAACAACAAGCACAACAACAACAGCAGCAGCAAGCAACAACAACAACACAATAACAACAACAACCAGCAACAGCAACAACAACAGCACACAACACAACAGCAAACAACACACAACAACAACAGCAACAACAACAACAGCAGCCAACAGCAACACACAACAACAACAGCAGCAACACAACAGCAACACAACAACAACACAGCAACACCAACAGCAACAACAACAACAAACACACAACAACAACAGCAACAACACAACACAGCAAACACACAACAGCAGCAACAACAACAACAACAGCAGCAACAAACAAGAACAACACACAGCAGCAACAACAAACAACACACACAACCAACACAAAGCAGCACAACCAACGCAACACACAACAGCAGCAACAACAAACAACAGCAGACAACAACAACAACAGCAACAACAACAACAGCAGCAACAACAAACACAGCAACAACAACAACACACAACAACAACAACAGCAACAACACAACAACAGCAGCAAACAAACAACAGGCAACAACAACACACAACAACAACACATAACAACAGCAGCAACAACAACAGCAGCAACAACAACAAGCAGCACAACAACAACAGCAACACACAACAGCAGCAACAACAACAGTTCAACAAATACTTGTAAACCTCAGTCATCCCAACATTGCAGCCTCACTATACCAGTCTCATCAACCACTATAAACGTGGTCATCCACAACATGCTGCACCACTACACCAGTACTCATCAACAACACTATAAACGTGTCATCCCAACATTGCTGCCCCAACATACCGTCTCATCAACCACTAAACAACGTGTCACACAACCATTGCATGCCTCAACTACTCCACGTCTCATCAACCACTTATAAACTGGCACAACCACCAACTTGCTGCAACTACAACAACTCCCGTCCATCAACCACTTAAAACGGGTCATCCCACATTGCTGCCTCAACTACACACACGTCATCACAACCACTATAAACATGTCATACCACAACATTGCTGCAACACAACACACGCGTCAACAATCAACAACACTATAAACAGTGGTCACCACAACCATTGCTGCCTCACTACATCCCGTATCATCAACCACTTATAAACGTGGTCATACCACCATTGCTGCCTCACACATCGCATCATCAACACACTTATAAACGTAAGTCATCCCAACATTGCAGCTCACAACGCCCTCATCATCAACCACTATACAACGGTCATCCCAACCATTGCTACCTCACTACCCGTCTCACAACACCACTCATAAAACGTGGTCAACCCACATTGCTCCACACTACAATCCCGTCTCATCAACCACTTAAAACGTGAGCAACACACACATGCATGCATCACTACTACACACCATCACACCAACATCATAAACGTGGTCAATCCACCATTGCTGCCTCAACTACAACACCGCACATACAAAACCACTTAATAAACGGGTCATCACCACCATTGCTGCCTCACTATCCACGTCTCATCAACCACTTATAAACGTGGTCACCCACCATTGCTGCACCACTACTCCGTCTCATCAACCACTTATAAACGTGGTCATCCCAACCATTGCTGCCTCACTACTCCGTCTCATCAACCACTTATAGAACGCTGGTCATCCCACCATTGCTGCCTCACTACTCCCGTCTCATCAACCACTTATAAACGTGGTCATCCCACCATTGCTGCCTCACTACTCCCGTCTCATCAACCACTTATAAACGTGGTCATCCCACCATTGCTGCCTCACTACTCCCGTCTCATCAACCACTTATAAACGTGGTCATCCCACCATTGCTGCCTCACTACTCCCGTCTCATCAACCACTTATAAACGTGGTCATCCACCATTGCTGCCTCACTACTCCCGTCTCATCAACCACTTATAAACGTGGTCATCCCACCATTGCTGCCTCACTACTCCCGTCTCATCAACCACTTATAAACGTGGTCATCCCACCATTGCTGCCTCACTACTCCCGTCTCATCAACCACTTATAAACGTGGTCATCCCACCATTGCTGCCTCACTACTCCCGTCTCATCAACCACTTATAAACGTGGTCATCCCACCATTGCTGCCTCACTACTCCCGTCTCATCAACCACTTATAAACGTGGTCATCCCACCATTGCTGCCTCACTACTCCCGTCTCATCAACCACTTATAAACGTGGTCATCCCACCATTGCTGCCTCACTACTCCCGTCTCATCAACCACTTATAAACGTGGTCATCCCACCATTGCTGCCTCACTACTCCCGTCTCATCAACCACTTATAAACGTGGTCATCCCACCATTGCTGCCTCACTACTCCCGTCTCATCAACCACTTATAAAACGTGGTCATCCCACCATTGCTGCCTCACTACTCCCGTCTCATCAACCACTTTATAAACTGGTCATCCCACCATTGCTGCCTCACTACTCCCGTCTCATCAACCACTTATAAACGTGGTCATCCCACCATTGCTGCCTCACTACTCCCGTCTCATCAACCACTTATAAACATGGTCATCCCACCATTGCTGCCTCACTACTCCCGTCTCATCAACCACTTATAAACGTGGTCATCCCACCATTGCTGCCTCACTACTCCCGTCTCATCAACCACTTATAAACATGGTCATCCCACCATTGCTGCCTCACTACTCCCGTCTCATCAACCACTTATAAACTGGTCATCCCACCATTGCTGCCTCACTACTCCCGTCTCATCAACCACTTATAAACGTGGTCATCCCACCATTGCTGCCTCACTATCCCGTCTCATCAACCACTTATAAACGTGGTCATCCCACCATTGCTGCCTCACTACTCCCGTCTCATCAACCACTTATAAACGTGGTCATCCCACCATTGCTGCCTCACTACTCCCGTCTCATCAACCACTTATAAACGTGGTCATCCCACCATTGCTGCCTCACTACTCCCGTCTCATCAACCACTTATAAACGTGGTCATCCCACCATTGCTGCCTCACTACTCCCGTCTCATCAACCACTTATAAACGTGGTCATCCCTACCATTGCTGCCTCACTACTCCCGTCTCATCAACCACTTATAAACGTGGTCATCCCACCATTGCTGCCTCACTACTCCCGTCTCATCAACCACTTATAAACGTGGTCATCCCACCATTGCTGCCTCACTACTCCCGTCTCATCAACCACTTATAAACGTGGTCATCCCACCATTGCTGCCTCACTACTCCCGTCTCATCAACCACTTATAAACGTGGTCATCCCACCATTGCTGCCTCACTACTCCCGTCTCATCAACCACTTATAAACGTGGTCATCCCACCATTGCTGCCTCACTACTCCCGTCTCATCAACCACTTATAAACGTGGTCATCCCACCATTGCTGCCTCACTACTCCCGTCTCATCAACCACTTATAAACGTGGTCATCCCACCATTGCTGCCTCACTACTCCCGTCTCATCAACCACTTATAAACGTGGTCATCCCACCATTGCTGCCTCACTACTCCCGTCTCATCAACCACTTATAAACGTGGTCATCCCACCATTGCTGCCTCACTACTCCCGTCTCATCAACCACTTATAAACGTGGTCATCCCACCATTGCTGCCTCACTACTCCCGTCTCATCAACCACTTATAAACGTGGTCATCCCACCATTGCTGCCTCACTACTCCCGTCTCATCAACCACTTATAAACGTGGTCATCCCACCATTGCTGCCTCACTACTCCCGTCTCATCAACCACTTATAAACGTGGTCATCCCACCATTGCTGCCTCACTACTCCCGTCTCATCAACCACTTATAAACGTGGTCATCCCACCATTGCTGCCTCACTACTCCCGTCTCATCAACCACTTATAAACGTGGTCATCCCACCATTGCTGCCTCACTACTCCCGTCTCATCAACCACTTATAAACGTGGTCATCCCACCATTGCTGCCTCACTACTCCCGTCTCATCAACCACTTATAAACGTGGTCATCCCACCATTGCTGCCTCACTACTCCCGTCTCATCAACCACTTATAAACGTGGTCATCCCACCATTGCTGCCTCACTACTCCCGTCTCATCAACCACTTATAAACGTGGTCATCCCACCATTGCTGCATCACTACTCCCGTCTCATCAACCACTTATAAACTGGTCATCCCACCATTGCTGCCTCACTACTCCCGTCTCATCAACCACTTATAAACGTGGTCATCCCACCATTGCTGCCTCACTACTCCCGTCTCATCAACCACTTATAAACATGGTCATCCCACCATTGCTGCCTCACTACTCCCGTCTCATCAACCACTTATAAACGTGGTCATCCCACCATTGCTGCCTCACTACTCCCGTCTCATCAACCACTTATAAACGTGGTCATCCCACCATTGCTGCCTCACTACTCCCGTCTCATCAACCACTTATAAACTGGTCATCCCACCATTGCTGCCTCACTACTCCCGTCTCATCAACCACTTATAAACGTGGTCATCCCACCATTGCTGCCTCACTACTCCCGTCTCATCAACCACTTATAAACGTGGTCATCCCACCATTGCTGCCTCACTACTCCCGTCTCATCAACCACTTATAAACGTGGTCATCCCACCATTGCTGCCTCACTACTCCCGTCTCATCAACCACTTATAAACGTGGTCATCCCACCATTGCTGCCTCACTACTCCCGTCTCATCAACCACTTATAAACGTGGTCATCCCACCATTGCTGCCTCACTACTCCCGTCTCATCAACCACTTATAACGTGGTCATCCCACCATTGCTGCCTCACTACTCCCGTCTCATCAACCACTTATAAACGTGGTCATCCCACCATTGCCTGCCTCACTACTCCCGTCTCATCAACCACTTATAACAGTGGTCATCCCACCATTGCTGCCTCACTACTCCCGTCTCATCAACCACTTATAAACGTGGTCATCCCACCATTGCTGCCTCACTACTCCCGTCTCATCAACCACTTATAAACGTGGTCATCCCACCATTGCTGCCTCACTACTCCCGTCTCATCAACCACTTATAAACATGGTCATCCCACCATTGCTGCCTCACTACTCCCGTCTCATCAACCACTTATAAACATGGTCATCCCACCATTGCTGCCTCACTACTCCCGTCTCATCAACCACTTATAAAGGGTCATCCCACCATTGCTGCCTCACTACTCCCGTCTCATCAACCACTTATAAACGTGGTCATCCCACCATTGCTGCCTCACTACTCCCGTCTCATCAACCACTTATAAACATGTTCTGAAAGGGTCATGAAGGCTGTTACAAAATGCGACATCTCTTAAGTGAATATATCCCCAGAGAACACTAGATCAACTTACTGACCTCCCTCTAGCATCTAACCTATTTCTGGTTGCCTAACAGTCTCTCTCAGTGTATTCTAGTCCACTTATTCCATAAAATTAAGTGGCTTCTCAACATTTCTTTTTGATCGCAACTAAATAAATAAAAAACAAATGAAAGTCGAGATCTTTAATAACAAAGGTGTGTAGGTTGTATAAATTATAGTTAATTTAGTTTCAGTAATTATGGAGATAAGGTCCTACACGACTCGTGGAGTATAATTCAGCAACATTATCTATCATAGTTATTCTGTACATATAATCACTGGGTGCTTTGGACACTTTTGACAACATACAGGAGCCTGGCTTCTCCCTTCGAGCCCCGTGAGGGTCGGGAATGGGGCTAGGCCTGGGAACAGTTGGTTCCAGAAGATGAGCAGGCACTTGTGCCTCCTCCCATGAGAGACTTAGGTCTCAGACACTCCCTAGACAGGGAGCCAAGGCCGGGTCACCATCTGGAAAAGACCCGGGCAGGGAGAGTACCGGCGAATCAAGAAGACCAAGATACTGTACTGCTCTGAATATGTACCGTCTGGTACATTGGTATGAGATGTACTCATGAGTACAAGAGTAATGGTGTGTAAGCATGTGTATTTATGTAAGTGCTCTGTATGTGCTAGGATTGACTCAGCTTAGAACGTGACTGACTAAATAAGCTAACTTCTGGACCATTGAGGCAATCTAACAGCTTGCTTGAACAGTATGATGACCCATTTGCCAAACAGCAATAATGCTGGAAGCAGCAGTGAACTACACAGCATTAGGCAAGAAATCAAGAAGACCAAAATGACCATAACAGATCCTCCCAAAAAGACTAAACTCTCTTATTACTGAAACTAAGTTCATTGCATAGATGCCAGAACAAATGTAGGCAAAGAACTGAACTCGGGACCAGAGATATAGTGTCTCACAACACACACAACCTCTTATAACGTCAAATATCACCAAGTGTATATAATGCTCTGTGAACAGAGTTGCACAGAGATACAAGCTGCATGTCCCAGCTCACCATAGGAGACATGCTCTACTAAAAACAGTCTAAATAACACAAGTTGAGGAGAATACTGTTCTCTCAGACAGAGCAGAGATGGAGCTGTTTCCTATATGAGGAGTAACTAAAGAAAAGGAGAAGTAGGGCCGGCAGATATATCATTGGATGACTCGTACCAGCTTACTCATACCAGCTTACTGGTACCAGCTTACAAGTACCAGCTTCCTTGTGCCAACTTCTGGTACCAGTTTACTTGTACCAACTTACTGGTACTAGCTTATTTGTACATCTAACTGGTACCAGCTTACTTGTACTGGCTTACTGATACCAGTTTACTGGTACCAGCTTAATTATACCAGCTTCACACCAA